GAGAGCAACAGACCCCTCATCCCTTTACTCCCATTGGTTTAAGAGTCAAACGAAAGGTGACGTTAAGCAAGTCTTTGGATCCTGCGCTTGGGATTCCTCTGCTCAAACAAATAAGTAAAGTAACAGGAGCCGCAGAGAGCCATTGCGGATCAGGGCTGCTACAGCAGGGGACGTTTACTCATCCCTGAACCTGGTATTCACTGCGAAACCGCTTCAATCCAATACTCCACTTTAACTGGCACACAGATTGCAGCTGCAAAGAATCAGCTAAACTAAAACGGAGGGTCTCTTGGTTTTCGTTTTGTTTTGGGGTTGTTGTCCCCACCCCCCACCACCCCCCATGCCAGGAGCAAAGGGGCACAACTCCTTTAAACAACGGTCTCTGGTCCATCGATTTGTGTCAATGAACTCATCTGGTGTGTGGCTTTTGATTCCGAGTCAAAAGCCACCATGTGTGGGCTTCGCAATCGGCAACAGAGCAGGCTTTGACTGTTTATGCTGCGTCTTGTTGCCTAAGTGCTTTTCCATTTCTCCCCAGTCAACCTTGCAACGTCGCTGGCACTGCATCTACAAGAGAACTCTTTTTTTAAAAAAAAAAAACCATATATGCATATAATAACAATAATGCTTTTGAAACAATGTGAAGTCATTCTTTTTCCGATCATAAGAGAATCCCGTTTCAAACTGCCTGCTTGTCGCTGCCAGCAGTAGGGCTCTACAGTTCCTTTACTGCTGTTGCACAACATCTTGACACATAAAAGTTAATGTTGCATCCGGAAGTGCATGCCAAATACAGGCCTGCCTCAGATGGATTAAATATTTTATTTTAAAAACAAAACAACAACATGGCATCATGGTGAACTTACATTACCCAGAACCCAGCTGCAGCTCATATGTGTGAGGTTTCTTTCTTTTTATTTCACCATGCTGTCACTTAAGCTGGTGTGCATTAGGCTCTTTCCATCATCCCTACCCACCAATTTGTAGCCTTAAAATAAAACGTAACACATACCGAATTGTTTCCTCTCCCCGCCCAAGAACTCAAAAAAAAAATCTACCTTTTACGCTTTCAGAAAAGACCTTCCTCAAGGGTTCCTTTCTGGCATGGTCTGTTTCATGGCCAAAGTACAGCTATTTTGCCACTCCACAAAATTATGGAGAGCTCAGTTGGCTACAGTGTGGCGCTCATAATGCCAAGGTTGAAGGTTCAATCCCTGTATGGGACAACTCTAGAATTCTACGGTTCTATGATCTCAGAGCCCTTTGGCACTAAGTTCAGGAGTTGGCACTTTTGCTCCATTGCACAATGTTCAGAAGTTCCATGCTCTAGCCCAGCCTTTCTCAACCTGTGGGTCCCCAGATGTTGTTGAACTACAACTCCCATCACCCCTAGCTAGAAAGGCCAGAGCTCAGGGATGATGGGAGTTGTAGTCCAACAACATCTGAGGACCCACAGGTTGAGAACCGCTGCTAGTCTAAAGTAGAGGTGGGAAGCCTTTTTGAGGGCTGTATTCAGATGGGGAAAGGTGATCTGGGGCTGCGTATTAGTGATGGATGGGACCCAAAGCAAAACATGGGCAAGGCTAAAGTGAAAAGTAGACAGAGTCTCTCTCTCTCTCTCATATATCCAGTGCGTTTTTTTCTGGGGGACACACAGAGGTACGCATACCCCATACCATTTTGTGAATCTAAGTTTGGCCTCATTGAGCGGCAGTATTTCAATATGAGTAGGAAAATGAGAGTACCCCTAAACATTTTTTTAAGAAAAAGCACTGCATATATCCATCCTCTCTCTTAAGTCTCTCTCTCACACTAGCTAGCCTCCCTCTGAGGCCCTCAACATGTCTCTCCTTTATTCATCCATCACCCATATTTATATAATTCATATTCTTTGTGTCACTCACAGACACACACAGAGAGACTCACACATGCCTTCTTCCCTCCCTCCACAAAAGAAAGACACAGGCTGGTTACCAGTGGACTAAATTGGGCTCTCTGTGGCCAGCCCTCCGAAGGTTATCTGTCTGAGAATGGTTGAAAAGGCATGGAAGTATGTGATTGATTGGATGCCGGTGGCTTAACAAATCAGATTCCAATAACTAATAGTGGAAAATGTTGTTTCGTAGCCAGTCCGTTGTGTTTCATTCTACGTCAATCCACTGACTGACCTTTTTTTCCTGGATGTTATTTATATCAGTGAACTCCAGAAGCTTCATCCCTAAACCTCAAATTCTTTAAGAAAAGAAAGACACAATGCTTTGAATTGGGCGTGCATACAATTGAGTTTTTCTGCGCCTGTCCCCTTTTCAGAACCAACACAGATGCTTTTTAAGCTGCCGATGGAGCCATGTGTAATTTCTGTTATAAAACTTAACTCAGTCACTCAACTCTAACTGCATTTGCTGGTTCACATTAATATCTAAACATGTTAGATATTAACCACAAAGTAGATTATTTTTACTCCTCCAAATCAAAGCTTTCAAAGGAACGGTAACATACACTGTGATCTCAATGGCTTACAGGTCTTATGTACCACAGTGCAGTAAAGATTTACTGCTGGTGCCACGAGGATTCAAAAAGCCTGGCCTGTGGCCTGTGTTCGATAGCTGCATTGTCAAAGCCATTCACACCCATGCAGCCTAATCCTGTTCATATTTACTCAGGATTAAACCCCACAGGCTTAAGCAGTATTTATTTCCATTCTGAGTGGGCATCTGTAGGGTTGACTTGTGAGGCAGACTCACACGGCTCTCTCTGACCCCAGATCTGGCCTGATGAACACACATCCTGGGATGACCATAGTAAGCAATGAGCACAAGTACATTATCGCACACAGCAGTGGCATCTCTAGTTAAAAGGAGCAGGGAGCTCCTTTTATTTTTCACTTTGAAATATATATTATTTTCTACCCCGCTCTTCCATTATTGGTCAGCAAGGCAGAAACTGTACATGCTATAGAGGGAAATGAGGGGAAGGGGCTCATCAACCTGTGAAAGTAGCCCACCTAGAAGAAGGAAAACTCTGGTCTTAAATCTTTGCTGCCTTGCAGCTATACTCAGTCATGAGAAAGGCTTTGGGAGTAAACCCCGAGGAAAACCCACACCCACGGCCTTATGGGACAGATTTGGGGGAAGAAAAGACAGCAAATTCGGAGTGGAGTCCCAAAGGCAGTTGGATAGCACTTTGTACTTCTGGCAGCTCATGCAGCCAAGCTGGTGTCAAGCATATTGCTCTGCTTTCCTTTAGACCACACCAGCAAGGATGGGCAGCCCAAGACCTCCCTACACGCTGCCCAGTCTTATGCCCTGGGGAGCTACATCAATGTTGCTAACACAGCAAAAACAATGCAAGAGGCAGCAGCTATGAATTACCGGTTTCTGCAGCCACAGCAGGCGCTGTGATTCTCCAGCGGTTTGGTTTCATCCCCGGAGGCACAATCCACTGTCTCTTGAAGCAGGCAAATGCCAACAATAAAACCCACTCTCCACAATGGTCTCATTCCCAAGTAAATACCTTTGGCATCAGGGCAACAGAAGCAAACTCCATTTTGTTCCAGTAGTCATGATAGTGCTGCGATTCAAGTAAGTCTTTAAAATCCAAAACTGCAAAAGTTCTGAGTGTTCCTTTGTGTGTGTTCTAACATACATGAGGAATGCAGAAGCGACCGTAAAGCACGGGATGGTGATGTAGGGGAAGGAGATATGTTAATTGTGTGATTCACAACAAAAGGAATACACATGGCTGGCTAAAGATGAGCACCTGTAAGACCAAAAACCTAAGGCATCAAGCTACCCAGCTGCACCATGGCTGAGACCAACCATGTGGAATTACTGGTAGTCAGAGCAGATGGACAAGGCAAATTCCTATGTGCCTACCGTCTCTTCACACTTTCTGTGGAAACCACCAGAGGCCACATTTTGTGTGAAGAAGCCCTCCCTGAACCCGCTTAAAACGGGTACAAAGTCATTTGAGTGACTTTGGTTTTCACTTGTACATCTGTAAATAGCTCTTGAACTTTCTGTTGACATGTCATTTTGGGAAAATCGTATTTTCTCAGGAAACAAAAGGCGAAATAAGAGCTTGGTCTTAACATTTAATGGTGTCAGACAAAGGGGATGTAAACATGACCATTCTGAATTGTTACCGTTTAAGGAGAAATGTCTTGGGGGGAAACTGGTTTCTGGTTTGTTTATGGGGAGGTTAGATGATGCATCAAAATCAAGTGCCCTCCCACATTTTCCAGTGCATTTGCCCATCATGATCTTTATTGCAAAAAGCCTAATCTTTTGGGGAAGTAAGTGTGTTGCACAAGACCTTTCAGCAACCTGAATTTGCACGAGGAGAAAGAAAGAAAGAAAGGGGACATCTGGATTAAATGAAGGGGGGGATATGGGGCGGCAATTTTGATGAAGCCGATGTCATGTGGATGCTGCGAAAAACTTGTACACACAAGCAGTGCCAATTCCACAATAAACTCCCGTCTCCAAGCACCCATAAGGCATTTCCAGGCTGTCATTGTTTTCATGTGGAATTCAATCTGGGGCAGCAAACCCACTTCCCCCAAATGTGAGCCTTTTGCAAGGAGTGACGAGAAAATGCAGGGCAAAAGTGTGGGCTACGGTTGCTTTGATGCAAGATTATCTAAAATCGCCACTGCCCTGCAAACCTATCAGAATGAATGCTCAACAAAAGCCTGTGTTTTCTGATGTCTAACACCAACTTAGAGTGTCTAGTTCCATATGACATGGTTTGCTTGGTCCGGGGTCTTCTGTCCACAGGCAACAACCTACTTCATGAAATACAGGAAACCTACTAGGGCATCGGTGTCCGCTGCTGTACTGGCCTGTAATTATCCAAGTTGGCAGTTAGGGGCAAGTAAACAGCAACAGGGAGTTAAGCAAGGAAGGGGGGAGAGAAGCTGCTCTGACGAGATCAGAAGAAATAAAACTTTACGAGGAGGGGGGGGTTGGGGAGGGAGAGAGACATGCAGAGGAGGGAGAGAGACATGCAGAGGAGCCATGCAGAGGAGGGAAAGAGCGCGGTATAAAAGCATGAGACCCGCGCAATGACGGGGAAGAGAGGCAGCCTCTTGCAAGCGGAGACACACCGGCCAGCAGACGGGGGGGATTCGCACACAAACGCTCCGCCGTTGCCGTCTTAGGACCGGGGACAAGTTCTCCTGCGAGTTGCCCCTCAAAGACTTGGACGTTTCCCGGTTTCCCTCCGAGAGGATTTAACCCCCAGGAAGGGAAGAGGTTCGGGAGCCAAGCCGAAGACCCCGGGGAAGACCTTTAGCCTGCAAGAGGCGCAGAAGCCCCGAGGGGGCGGCCGGAGCAGCTCCCACCTGCACCCCTCTGACAGCACCCAGCCCAGCCCGGCTCATGGGCTGAAGAAAACAGGCGCCCGCCGACCGTCCCGGGAGCCCTCGGGTGGGCTGGAGAGCCCCGAAGGCGCCCCTGCGAAGGCGCCCGGTGGTGGGCACGGGTGGGGAGCACCTGGGGGGCTGAAGAGAGGAGGAGAAGTCGCCTTTCCCGGCCTTGGGGGCAGCAGTAGCCCGAGTTAGAGACGAGAGAGGAGAGCCCTCTGAGCGGGGCGCTCCCTCCGGCCGCCAGCAGGGGCGGACGCCGCCCCCGCCTCGCATGCTGCCTTCGAAGGCAGGCCGGGCACCTCCAGCGCAAGGCGCGCTCCCTCTTCACCTCCTCCTTCTCCTCCTCGCCTTCGTCGTCCGCAGGCGCAACGCCGACGGCTCTCGGCTGCGCTGCGCCACGAGGGCTGCCCCGCCGCCGCTCCGGCAGCTTCGGAAGCGCGCTCGGGGCCCGACGAGGCGGCGGTGGGCGGGCGAGAGGCCGGCGGCAGCTGCCTCCCGGTGCGCTCCTGCCGGCGGGCGCGACCCCATGCGGGCGCCGGGCTGCCGGAGGAGCAGCGAGAGCAGCGCCCCCTGCAGCCGGACCCGCTCCCTGCCACGGCCCCGCTGCCGTCGGGCGGGCGCCCACAGCCTCCTCGCGCCGCAGCCTCGGAAGCCGCCTCCCGCCCCGAAGTGGCTCCGCCGGGGTGGTGGCGGTGCGGCAGCGGCGCGGGCTGCAGCAGCAGCAGCGGCTCCTCCTCCTCCTGCTCCCCGTCGTCGTCGTCTGCCGGCCCGGTTGATCCCGAGAGCGGCGCAGGGAATCCGGCTGCTGCCCCACTAGACGCCGCCGGCGCGGCCGGGGCTCCTGCTGCTGCTGCTCCTGCCGCCGCGGCTCCTCCTCTCGCTGCCGCCGCTGCTGTGCCGTCGCGGAGCCCTAAAGCCGCCCGCTGCAAGAGGATGGTGCGCCTGGCGGCCGAGCTACTCCTGCTGCTGGGACTCCTCCTGCTCACCTTGCACATCACGGTGCTGCGGGGCAGCGAGCCCGACGCCGCCACGGGAAACCACAGCCAGCGCCAACCGGTGAGCGAGCACCCTTGCAGGATCCTTCGCGGTTACCGTTGGCGAAAGTTGCGGGTTTACATTCTGGGGTGGGAAGGGAGAGGATTTACCAAGGAACCAAGGCGTCCCTCTGCTAGCCACCCTCTTAATTCGCTCCCCTACCCCCCTCTCTTCTTTTACTTCCACCCACCGGGATCGCTGCATATGTTGGTGCAAACATGCCTGAAGTTGCTCATAGAAGGTACCCCGGGGGTCATCTAGTCCAACCCCCTGCAATCTTTCACCCAGTGTGGAACTCGAACCCACAACCCTGAGATTAAGAGTCTCATGTTCTATCAATCGGAGCTATCAGGTTGTTAGTTCAGATAGCGTTTCTCTCACCTGGTTCCCAAGCTGCTGTTGCACTACAACTATAATCCCTAGCAAGTAGGACCAGTGGTCAGGAATGATGGGAGTTGTAGTCCCACAACAACTGAGGATCAAATCTGAGAAACACTGCAGGGAGAAGAAGGGTTGTGGCTCAATGACAGAGCATCTGCTTTGCATGCAGGAGGGCCCAGGTTCAGCCCCTGGCATTGGTTGGGATGCCCCCCCCCCCCGAAAACCAGGAGAACTGCTGCCAGTCAATGTATAACCAGTGCTAAGCTAGATGGATCCAGTGGTCCTGACGCAGTATAAGGCAGCTTATTAGGTTCCCCCGGACTGGGACTGGCTCTTCATTGTCTTGGGTGGAGAAAGGTCTTCCCATCCCTTCTCGTCTTCTTGGAGGAGCACACACTCTGGATGCCAAAGTTCCCAAATTCGGTCCTCAGAATCTCCAGGTAGGACTGGGAATGCCTGAAACCCCGGAGAGGCTCTGCCACTCCACAGAAACAATACTGTACTGAGCCAGGTGGGACAAACCTCCGAAGAAATACAAGCGTGTTCTGTGCTTCTCCTTTTAATTAGAGATCCTGGGGATTGAACTCAAGAACGTCCGCATGCAAAGCTTGTGTTTTTCAATAAGTTATGTTATTTCGGCTTAACTAAGGGTGTGTTCATGTTGCCGCTTTAGAGCACAAAGAAGTTGCCGCCCCCACCCCCACCCGCTGGCAGCTAAGTGTTCGCACTTTGACTAGAGATAATTAGGAATGGTTCAAGGACTTGGCAGTTTGGATAGCGTTGTGTGAGCATGGATTAAAAACTCAGCGCAACAGAAATGCAGCGAGTGCACACAGCAAACAGGAGTCCTGAAAAAAATTGCCTTGCAGTGTATCCCGTGTGTGATTTCAGGCTATTTCCACCATCATTTTAGAAGACGGGGTTGGTCCTCCAGATTTTGCTGTACTCTTAACTCCCAGCACCCCTGGCCATTGGCCAGGCTGGCTGGTGCTGATGAGGTTCATCATCTGGAGCAGTGGTAGGCAAACTAAGACCCGGGGACCGGATCCGGCCCAATCGCCTTCTCAATCCGGCCTGCGGACGGTCCGGGAATCAGTGTGTTTTTACATGAGTAGAATGTGTCCTTTTATTTAAAATGCATCTCTGGGTTATTTTTGGGGCATAGGAATTCGTTCATTTCCCCCCCAAAAATATAGTCCAGCCCACCACATGGTTTGAGGGACGGTGGACCGGATCACGGCTGAAAATGGTTGCTGACCCCTGATCTGGAGGTTGCCCATCTCTGCTTTAGAACTTGTACATTTGGCTCCTTTCATTCTTTCAGTGCCTGCATGAAGAGGAGTAGGATCATGTGTGAGGTCTCTGCTCCAGACTTCCACATGTTCTTCCAAAGGTCTGGATGGAACCTACATGCATAGGCTTTGGGGACCTACCTCTTTTGCTAGGTCTCCAGTTTTTACAGCCTACCTGCTGGAGCAGAGACGCCAGGTCTTGATCCTGATCTTCTCATGCTGGCCCCGAGATGTTGTGCATCCTGCAAAATACTTGATGCATCATTCAAACACCAATTGCCATTACACTGTTGCATGAGAGGTTGTTTCAGCCCGCTGCCCAGCCAGGTGTGCTCTGTCCTCCTCCCCACCCACACCTCCAGTGAATGTTGCAAAAGGTCTCTCTGTCTTTCCCCTGCGTTGTATTTAAACTCTCATGAACACCCTGCCAAATCCTTTTCCTAGTCCAGGTATGATAGGCCTGTCTATTTTTCACCTTTCCTATGATCATCTCTAAACCAGTGTGGACTTGGGAGTCTGAAGAATAGAATATATCCCTCTGCCCACAACAACAAGAATAGTAATATTCTTGCAAATATTCCGGGTGACAGCAGGTGTGCTCCATCCCAAATTCTAGAACTACCCCCTCCTCTCTACTGAACTGGAAACATTGTGGAAAATGCTAAGGAAGAATGGAGTAGAAAAATGGACCAGTGTGTAGGGATAAGATAATTATCATGTGCATGGATTTGTAGTAATGCTTCTTAGCATTTTCTGATAGCGTTTAACAGTTCTACTGCACGGGGGTTCAGGGGGCTTCCAATAAAGTATCTTGTCCTCCTTACAACACCCCTGTGAGGTTGGCCAGTGTTGCCATGTTTCAGTTGTCAGAGAGAGAGAGAACGAGAATGAGAACCTATGGCCAGCTAGTAAATTCATGGCAGTAGCAAGATTCAAGATGGGGACTAACTGGTTTATAGTTAGATTTTTAGCCATGATGTTAAGGACCACATTCCCCCTTGGGGAACTTTCCAGGGGCCACATGCCATTGGTGGACATGCCCAGGGGGCAAAGCAGTACAGCAGACCACATTCCATCTGTTCAGAGGCTCCGTCCACGTAAGCAAAAGGCATTTTCACAGTTCCAGCCAGGCGAAAGCACTTGCAGGAACACAGAGCAGGGCTGGTGAGAAATGTGGTCTGGAGAAGCTAGCATGGCTTAAGGAAAATTGATTTATATTTATCGGATTTGTATACCACCCTTTATCCGAAGATCTCAGGGCAGAAAGTAGGAATCACCTGTGTGAGTGACAGGTGTTGCATAGATACTGTGGTGAGAATTTCTCTTCTTATTATAGTCTCTCCATACATCTGTGGATAGGGAATTTTGGAAATTGAACAGCCCAGATACTTTACTATTTTGATTTCTTTCCAGTCCTTACAGTTTCGGGATAGTTTATGACATTTTAAAAACCAGCCTCAAAAACCATGTGGACGATTCAGTGTTTTCTGAACTAATAATGTATGCTTCATCTAGGAGCAAGCAAGTTTTAAGTTCTCCCCATCCAGGTTGATCTCGCCCCTCCTTTGAAACCAATAAATGCTGTCCTCATTTTGCTTTTTTCAAATTCCGGGTAGGTTTGACTGAGTTTGTGCAGATGGGATGCAGGAAGGCCACATTTATGTTGCAAAGTTTCAGCCTTCAGAACGCCATAATGTGCTGGGACAATGACAGCTGCGTCCTGAGTATTGGGGGAAAGTACCTTTCTTTCTCTCCACCCCCCCCCCCAGCTTCTTCTTAATAGAAGGCTGCATAGTTTCCACAACTGGTGTTTCTGCGAGGGTGCTTATTAATCTAAACGTGCATGGCTGCAACTTGAAATTAGGGTATTAAAATGGGAGCTCCCCCTTGTTTGTAAGGACGTAAAAGCCCTGCCTGCTTACAGGAGGTTGAGATAGCTGAATGGCACGAGGACTTAACCTCAGTGTAGCTTTAAAGCATGAAACCACATTTAGGATGCCCATCTGCATGAAGTGACATGGGAAAGAAATATATGGGGAATGGTGACACTTAGGGAGGGTTCTACTGGGCTGCCCAACAGCTGAATTCCTATTTTAAGTTGCTTCCTTTTGTTAGTCCAGCCTAAAGTTGCTCCAGGGAGGCCAAGCAGATACAAAATCCCCGCCACCACTGCCAAAATGAAGAGGGAGAAAGAGGGTTTGTTAGGAGGGAGCTTGAACGATGTAAGAAACTGGGGAACCTGCTGACTCCAACTCCCATAAGCCCCAGCCAGGATGGCCAGTGGTGAGGGATTATGGGAGCTGTAGTCCAGCAACATCTGGAGGGCCGCTGGACTGTGTTCTGACTGACAAGAGCCATCATTTGACCCATTTCTTGTAGGCTGTCCTTGTAGAACAACTTTCACTCTTGCTAACAATATCTTCAAGATGCCTAGCTATAATTTTCTTTATATGAATGATGCTTTCTTTCCTTGTGGGACCCTGAAGTGCCTTCTGTAGAACAGTAAATCTGAGAAGGATTTTGTTGTTGTTTTATGAGGCGTTTTTGGTACCACTGGAATAACCCTGAATTTGCCTCTCTTTACAGGCCAGTAACATAATGAGGGAAACAGCTGGGCAAATGAAAATCTAGGTGAAACTAATTCCCAGCGGAGTTATTTATACGCTACTGAATTGAGGGAGTGGGAGTGACTTATCTGGGTTAAAAAAAAACCAAAATAAGGCAAAAGGCAGATTCTGTTTAACAGTGGCTTATGTGTTTGTATATGGACTGCTGATTTCATGAAATCTCACCATTCCTCATAAAACGATCTGTTAAATTAAGTTTCTGCATTTGAGAAAGACTGCAGAGCAAGCGCTTCAGTAGATCTTTTTCATAGATTCTGCCATGTGCAGCAATACAAAGTTATATACTTCCTAACTCAATTGATTTTGCAGCTCTGGGATTTGAGAGAGCAGAATCCTGCAGACATTAAAGGCAAAGAGTATATCAGATGTCGCACTAAGCATTTGAACAGATGGAAACATAAGTTGCAAATTTACTTATTCTCTAGCCAAAATTATAGTAACCTGCCTCCGCTGTACATTTCAAAGCACAAGTAAACTGATGCTTTTGGGGCCTCTGAAATGTTTGCTAGCTCCCAGTTTTCTAATATTTCCAGGGAGGATTCTGAATTCTCTTAAATCTATCCTGTGTTCTTATTCCTTTAAAAAAAGGAAGAAAAATTGCATGGAGAAGGAGATTTATTGGATGTGCTGTAAACAAACAATAGTAAACCAGGTGGCTGGTGGTTTTAGCTGGCTGGCAAATATCTACATCTAATATTGCAGACAGTTTGGTTTTCATAGC